GGACAAAGTCAAGGCAAGCACAAGAAACCAGGTGCGAGGGACGGAGGGAAGGGGGCCGGTGGCCACCTTGCGGGCCAGGGTTTCTGCAGAGGGGCTGCACGGCTGTGCTCACCCGACCCCCGCAGGCTGGCGACCCTGCTCAGTAGGCCCCACAGGGGGCAGCTGCTGGCGACAGAGAGGCATGCTCCACACTGGGCTCCCAGTTTTTCTGAGCCCAGGCTATGGAGTCTTCCCAGAGGAAACTCGTTTCCCTTCTCTCCTAGAATGACGGGGCCAAGTACAACACCCAGCTGTTGAAAGGGCACCTCCGTCTCCCCTGATCTCTCCACATCTCCCAGCCTTCTCAGCCCGTCTCATCCAAAACGAGTCTCTGGCTCCCCCTTAGCCCATGGAACCAGCATGGCCGTTGGGCACATGCTGGAGAAAGCCCAGCTCCTTGTGCCCCGGACACTGTGGAACCACACTGAGATTTTGAGTTCTGGTGTCAATAATCTCATCGAATGCTGGGGGGCGGGGAGCTTGATTTTCAGAATTTGGATTTTGTTAACAACCTGGATGGTTAGACTGAGAGGCAACAGGGAGGTCCTGTTCTTTTGTGGGGCCGGGATTTCAAGATCTCCTGCGTCATTTAAGTTGGGTGGACTTTGGCCTTTTCTCAGCCTTTATCTTGATTATCAAAGAATACAGAGATTAAGTATCTTGAAAATAGACAAAGGCTTCTCTCAAAGACTGAACACTAAGACTCCCTGCACTTTAAGTACCTCTGCCCTCCCTGACCCCTCCTGGACTGAGTCTCCTGGCCCCCAGCACCCTCTCGGGAGTTGGTGGTAGTTGGTGAATTATTCAGGCCTCTTACCAGCTCCTGTTTATGCCTCTCTATTACTGCCTTTCAGCATGATTGGCCATTAGTACATTCATAAGGGGTAAACCGAGGGATGGGGTAGAAGGGAACCTATCACTCCTTGATAACTTTTATCCCAAAGGAGCTTAATGGCAAATGAGAGTCAAGTATTATAAATACGGAGTTTGAAATGATTCTAACTTTTGAACCACTAACGCCATGCCTGTCCACCACAGCTGTGGAAAATTAAAATTTGATTTCATTTAGAAAGCCCTGAACAAACCTCTACCTCTTGACCAAGACATCTGGAAGCCAAGCAGCAGGCCCTAAAATTTTAATTTAAGATCAAAACGACAAATGACAATTTCTAATTCCTTTGAAGAACCATAAACAGCTAACTCAAAACCCTGACCCAGATCCATTCTTCTCAAGCTTTGGATGTCCACGGAGGGTCAGCTCACTCAGCATTGGCATGCCAGCCCATGGACGCACACGATGACCTAGTGGGGACACCTGTCAGGGACTAAAAGGCCAAATAAACATTGATCTGTCAGGATGAGGCCCCCAGCCTACGGACTGGTGTTCCCTGAGGTCTACAGCAAGATTTCACAGTCATCATAAAGTTCCCAAACCACTGTCTGGCCAGCGATGAAGTCCAGTTACCTTTCTTATGCTGGAAGCATACTGACTGGTCCTGGGAAGTTCAAGAGATACAACAGCTAAACTATCAACAAGGTCAACAGCATATCTAAATGTACCAGAGCCACACTCCCCCCTTCCCCAGGATCCTTAAAGACACATGTTTGGGTGGGTTGGAAAGAGGTAGAAGGAGAAAGGACTCTGAAATGTTAACACACAGCATCGGAAGCAACAAAGGACTCATTCCAAAGGACAGAGAGGGTCATAAGGACTCGCTGGTTCGCAGATGGTTGGCAGAGGTGCGTGGTGGCCACAAAAACATCAAGGATGAAAGAGGCCGGAAGGTCGTCTAATTCTACATGAACTGTTAAAAGTGGCAGAAAAGCTCCCAAACTGTCATCTGCCAAAACAAAGAGCAATTCCAAGTCACAGGGCTGGCAGCCAGCAGGTTGACCTGGCAGAGAACCTCAGACTCCCCAACTGACTTGACATGGTATTAATGACTCCCTCCGCAGCGAGGTCTTGGAAAGATCCGAGAAATTAGCTCAATGGGCATCTCAAGCCCCCTGCTCCCTCCCGCGATGGAACCATCCCTCAAGGCCATTTGTGCACAGCCCTGGTGATAAGCCGGCCAGGTGGTGTCACAGGCCCCCAAAAGATGAAGCAATGGACCCCGAGAGAAAGCTACTCTAGAAGAGGGTGGACGGAAGCAACCAGAAAGACCAGCACACGAGAGCTAATGGACTTGAGGGCAGGCTGTCCCAGGGCAATAGGCTAGTAGAAACGGAGACCGAGAAAGAACTGCCGGATTCACTGGAATCCCCAACAGGGCTGCACAGCACGGCTTGGACCATGATTCCTAAAACATGTGCAAAAGCGATAAACAATACTGTCCAGATGATATCCGAGCCCACTGGAGAAGGGCGACACAGCCAACATCCATTATTCACTGGGAACAGACAGCTGCAGAGAAGCAAGAGCAAGTGAAAACCATCCAGGGTGCCTTCGATCCAAACCCACACTTCAGTGCATGTGTTTGCAAAGTCCAGCTTGAAGGCCAAGTACAGATGTGAGAGCAGATTCTGGTGGGGAGGAGGTGGGGCGGGGGCTCTTGGCGTCTCCCTCGTGGTGGACTTGCCCTGCCGGCCCAGGCATCTGCAGCTCAGTTCCAAAAATAGCCCCATATTTCCCTGCCATGTTTCACCCTGATGACAGGCAACTTGATGGATTATGTTCACTTCTTTGCCCAGATGCAGGATGGTCTCTGATGGGCTTCCGGTGGTGGTGGTTTCAACGGAGAAATATTAATTCCCTGGGAGCACTCTGTGGAAGAAGGGGGGCAGCAGAGGCAAAGTAATCTCTTCCTTCAAACTTCCAGATGATTTGCAAAGGGAAAGTCCTGCCTGGAGTCACACCAGAGACCACAACGTTTTTGTCTTGGCCGAATCTACCCGGTCCATGGAGGCCCGGAAACATCCGGTCCCAGACTGGCCTGGAAAGAAAGCACAAACCGGACGACCCATTTCTCCGGGGAGCGGGCCGTCTCTCGGGAATTGCCTTCTCCAGGAGCAACCTCTTCCATTGTCTGTCTGCTCCCATTAATGGCAAGAATAAATAAGGAAGAAAATGCCAAATATATAAAGTAGCACTTCAGTGGGCCTAACCTAACCAATTTCTCGGACCAGCCTGAGAGGGTCTCTGAAGCTAGTAAGAGGGAAGAAGGATCCTTCTTGGTAAACACGTTCTTGGTGGTGGTGGTGGGTGGGGAGGGGGTTCTGGGCCTTTGAACAGGTGAGGCTGGAGGTACCTGTCATGAATGCTTTTGTCCTAGTACCACTGGAAGGAGCAAAGCATCTTTGCAAGTACCGGGTTGGGAGGTAGGGGTGGGAAGACCAAGAAAAAGCAGATACACTTGCCTCTTATTACACATTCGATCCACTTTAATGCTCATGTTTAATTGAAACTTATCAGATTGAAAAAAAAAAAGTGGAAAGGGACTTGGAAGAGAATAATTGGATGACATGGGTAAAACCAAAATCAGAGACATGTTTTCCTAATTACAAAATCTGGTGTGTGTACTTGGGGGAGGGGGTGTTGAATAAATCAAGTGAAGTTTCAACTTTAAAAAGCAATCCACATTTCAAGAGCTGCCTTCATGTCTGGGGCCCCAGCACCAAAGTGACCACAGTTCATTAATGAATTGAAGCCTACCACCAGCAGCCTCCATCATCATGCCCTGAAGGAAAACACGGAGCAGGCTTCCTCTGAAGTGAATAAAGGAAAGCAATCATTTCTTCTTCTTTTTTCTTTTTAAAGCCCAACTGTTTCCAGTGGTAAACACGGGAACACCCACACTGTGCCATGCTTCCAAGAAACACCAGGATGACAAAAGCAGCAAAATGTCACCTCACACTGGGTGGTAGGTCCTCAAGCTCCACAGCTAAGTTACTCGTAAGAGAAATGGCTTATTAAGTCAGAACCTAAAATGGAGACACTTCTTCCCAAAGAGAAACTGAGTATTCAGGGAAGTTGCATGAAAGTCTTTCTGGCCACTGACGAAGAGACTTTTAAACAGTCACCTGGAAGAACCAATGCATCTTCCAGAAGCACTGTACATCCTTTCCAAGGGTCCTAACATACGCCCTCAGAACCTGCTTCCTTCAGCTGGATGCAACTTGTCTTTGAGCATTATTAGGGACCAGATCAAATACTTCCCATTTAATCCCAGCAAATCTACCAAGTGTTAACCATCGCCACTTAACAGATGAGTAAACTGGAAGCTGAAATGGATTTGCCCAAAGTCACGAGTGCACGGCCTCAGCCTGGCTTTCTACTAAAGCTACAACCATGACAGAGAGGTTCTCTTCGGAAGCTGAGGTCACCAAGGGGGATAAGATCCTGGGACGACCGCTGCCTGCCTTACCACTATGCAGATGTGGTCTTTCTGAGAATGCCACCAACAAGGGAAAATAGAAGAAGAGAAAGCGAGATTCCTAACACCATGTGAGCCCAGGAATCTAGCCAGGCCTACAGCTAGAACCCTCGACTTCCCAGTTCAACGAACCAACGAAATCCATCAGAGACGGTTGTTTGAGCTAACTTCCCATCACTTTCAGCCAAGAACACTGACCAATATGAGTCCATCTTACACAAATACACAAAATTTGTTTGTACAGCACAACCTCCCAGGCATAACACCACTAGAAGAAAACCTAGGTGCTCTCAGGATCTTTATGTGAATGAAAGAGGAGTTGGAGAAATCTTATCGAATGGAAGGATGCTCTTCCAGAAAACTAGACACTTGGGATGTCTTCAGCCTGCAAACTCAGTCCCTGGAGAACAAAGGTCCCCTCTGACGGCCCTAAGAACGCTTCTAGATAGCTGGTGACGAGGCACCTGTGAGCCTTTGTATTTCTGGGCAGAAGCCATGCAAAGCTGACACCATCAGCGTGTCCTTGTTCTCACTGAGGCCCACGTGCCCACCAGGCTTCCTGAAAACAGGGGCTCCACCCACACCTACCAGAAGCGCTGGAGCCCCGCGACACGTCCTGGGACTGGGTGGAGCGGTTGCGGTTCTGCTGTCGGCGCCGCCCGGGGGCCGACCTGGTGGTGCGCACGTGGACCTCGCTGACCTTGAAGAAGGCCACCATGAAGGGCTGCTTGTCGTAAGGGCCGTCTCTGCCCACCAGGCCTGCCGCTCGAGGGTTGACGGTGAGTCCTTGAATGCAAAGCACAGCACAGCTGTCTTTATTGGTTCCGACAGTTCCCTAGCCGCCCAAGCGCCTGGCACAGAGTGAGCATGAGGGAAGAGCATGCTCAGAGCAAAATCAAAACACTCCTTCTGAAGTTCTGTGAATCAAAACAAGGCGTGGTGTGAACTCCCAGGCCTCCCAGTCCCGATGGACTTTTCCCTACACAACCATTCTTTGCGCTTGTATGCCTCCCAACCAGCGAGGGAACGGACTTCACAGGCAGAGTGCACCCCGTCTGAGGACCGGTGTGGGGACCCTAAGCTGTGGAGCTTTGGTGCTGCAGGAGGAGGGGGCACTGGAAGGTTCTCGTGCAAACCTACCCCCCTACCCAACAGTCAGAACGTAGACTGGGCTCCCCCTGCCTCTGTGAGCCATTTTCCCATGGTTGCCCCTGGAACCCAGACCACCTACTTATCTCCAAGTCCTTCTGGAGGCCTCCGGGAGAGATTTTGCTTTTCAGTAGCAGTTACGAGGGAACGGTAAGTGCGGTCATCCCGGAGCCGTGGTGTCCACCGGAAACCAGGGTTCTACCGTAACTGTTGCAAACCAAAGGGATGAACGCTGTTCGCCAATGTTGGCAAACTTACCATCCCGAGTCACCACGCTCAGCTGAAGCCCCATGTTGTGCTGCGGGGTCACAACCCACAGATTGCTAGTGGCTGTGATGTCAAATTCCAACCAGCCTTCTTCTGAGGCCCACACCATGCGGGTGTCCAACAAAAATAGGTCAGAGTCTCTGAAAGAAAGAAAACATGGTGTGGTGAGTCGCACACAGCCCTCTTGGCCCATCCGCTCTGTCCTGCCTTGGTGTTAGAATGAAAACGCCAGCGTCAGATCGGGTCCACCCAGGGGGCATCACGCACAGTGCCCTGCCACGTCTCTGGCTCGTGGGACACCCGGGACACATGCATGACACGATCTGGAGAGGCATATGTGCTAGGGAACTTCCCAGAAATGAATTTTCTCCCAAGCATAGGTGGATCCCTCAACTTTATCAAAGGCCTTGCTATGGCTGTGCATGCCGAGTCTTTCTTGGAAATAAGGAAGGAGGGAAGGGAGGGCAGGAGGAAGAAGGAAAGTCATATTGTTGCTTACTTCATGGCCAACTCTAAAAAGAGAGCAGGGGGTGAGGCATGAGGAAAAGGATTAGGAAAATATTAAAATTAGGATTCATATGAACAACAACAACAAAAGTGGCTTTGTTCATTCTTTTTCTTTTTGTAAAATGAGGACCTGATAGTCTTCATATGTTAGTTCCTGTGAAATAAGGAGAAACAAGAAGCCACATCCTATTTGTAATCATCAGTTCCTTGCTTTTAATTAAGGCCTTTGAGCGGTCCATGCTGAGTGTGGGCTCCTTTCTCCTGTGGACGGGGTAGCTGTGGGTGGATGTTGAGTGATTCTAAAGCTCATCCCAGGGGCGCCTGGGTGGCTCAGTCGGTTGAGCATCTGTCTTCAGCTCAGGTCATGATTCCAGGGTCCTGGGATCCAGCCCCACATCGGGCTCCCTGCTCTGCGGGAAGCCGCTTCGCCCTCTCCTCTCACCTGACGTGTGCTCTCTCTCAAATAAATAAATAAAATCTTTAAGAGAATAAATAAAAATGTGCAGTGTTAGCACACGTGCAATTTTCTAAAAAAAAAGTTCATCCCAGCACAGCCATGAGCCGTGGCCGGGCTTCTTGTAGGCAAACTTGGAATCCATTCCTTCCATTGGGCTCTACAGGGAGTAGTTTTACATATATACTCACATACACATATTTATTTATTAATATATATTTATATATAATTCATATTTTTTATATTTATATATGTGTAAAAGATATGTATATTTTTTACAGTTCTCAACTAACATAACCCTAGGAGTTGTAAGAAGATGGAGTGAGGGTTTCTTCCCACTCCTGCACACGTCGTGATAGAGCAGTGTTAGGGGATGGTCCCCTTCGTGTATTTTTGGGATACTCTGAATCTGAGTTGACATCCCAGGGTCACTGACATGAAAATGGGTGGGAATTCCCAGGACAGGGCAGGGCACCATTTTGGCCATGGAAAGATTCAAATGCCCTTTTATAGGATAGAAAAATTACTAGAACACTGCATTTAAGATGAGCATTATATACAGACACCGTACATTGAAACTGGTTATAGGGTGCCTGGGTGGCTCAGTCGGTTAAGCATCTGCCTTCAGCTCAGGTTGTGATCCCAGGGTGCTGGGATCGAGTCCCGCATCGGGCTCCCCGCTCAGCGGGGAGTTTGCTTCTCCCTCTGCCTCCCTGCTCTATCATGAATAAATGAATAAAATCTTAAAAAAGAAATTGGTTATAAGGCGCTTTCATGCATTTTGCTTTCCTTAAAACAACCCTGAGAGCTGGTAGAATATCATGATCCCCATTGTACGGCTGGGGAATCAGACTCAGACTTGAGCTTGCAGCCATGCGACCTCGGTCAAAAGCTAGTGAGAGCACTAGCTAGCAGAGAGAAGCCCGCCGCCTCAGTTTCCCATTCCAGCATGCTGCCACTTGAGATTATTAAGAAAGACCACCTGTGGCAAGTGAATGCAATTTCTCTCTACCCCATCAAATACTTGTGAGGCCCGAGTTAAATGTCTCAGATGTCTGAGGGGAAACAATTTTTCCTGTTTACATGGCTTAGAGTTAGAGGCAGCTCTAGTGTCATCTTTTCCAAGCTTAAAACAGTAGGTACAGCGAAAAGGAGTTTACTCAGCTGCTGACCAGAGTGCGCAGGGGGCCACACGGAGGCCTGCCATGGGTAAAGTGCTCTCCAGCGACGTGCTTGTGTCATACCTCCTGTTGACAAACTACCCCCAGCACCGAGGTAACTGTGAGCAGGGAGGCAGGGGGTGTGCATGGAAAACAGCGAGAGGGGACTGCAAGTCCAAAGCTTTGAAGTGAAGATATAAAAAGACATAAATTCTGGAAATTCAGAGAAGACCCTCATCCAGGAATAACACAGACACTGTGGGAAAAGTGGCCCCGGTCCCGAAGGCAGCCCGGGCATGTCCGCGTCCGAACGGCACCCTCCGGAATGAAGACACGGTGAGACTCCCAAGGCGCCAAGCTGCGCCTGAGGGAAGGGGGTCACTGCTTATGGAGCTTGGGTGACGCACCTTGCAGATGATACTTGAAGACTTGTCACGAGGATGCAGAAAAATACAGTCCGAATAGGAGTGTGGCAGAGCTGGTACAAAGAGCTAGAATAAGTTTTGTTTTTTTTTTTAAAGATTTTATTTATTTATTTGAGAGAGAGAGAATGAAAGAGATAGAGAGCATGAGAGAGAGGAGGGTCAGGGGGAGAAGCAGACTCCCCGCTGAGCAGGGAGCCCGATGCGGGACTCGATCCCGGGACTCCAGGATCATGACCTGAGCCGAAGGCAGTCGCTTAACCAACTGAGCCACCCAGGCGCCCTAGAATGAGCTTTTATTTGGAAAAAGTAGTGTTGATGAAAAAGGAAATGGGAGTCTATTACAAGAAAAATTGCGGGCTGGGACAGAAGTCCATCGTCCCAAAAAGGAGAGAAACAGAGAGAAGGAAAAAAGGGCATGAATTAAAGAGGAAAACATGAATCCATTTAAAAAAAAATTTTTTTATTTTTAAAGATTTTATTTATTTATTTGACACAGAGAGAGAGACAGTGAGAGAGGGAACACGAGCAGGGGGAGTGGGAGAGGGAGAAGCAGGCTTCCCGCGGAGCAGGGAGCCCGATGTGGGGCTCGATCCCAGGACCCTGGGATAATGACCTGAGCCGCAGGCAGACGCTCAATGACTGAGCCACCCAGGCGCCCTCCCCCCCTTTTTTTTTCATTTTTTATTTTTATTTTGGAAAACGTGAATCCAAAACTAAACTTGGGGTAAAAATGGAAGGCGCTAAGGAGGGGGCAATTGTGAGGTGGAAGGAATGAAATCCACAGGGCAGGTGGGGACTCGTGGACGCAGGCAGCCTGGCTTTCTCTCCTGCCTGCTCCTCAGACACGCTGGGTCCCTGGGCAGCTGAGTTGTTTCTCCACCACCTTCCCTAACTGTGCAACGAGGAGAACGCTGGTCCTCACTGCCTAAGAGACCAGGGGCATACACAAATGCAGGCAGACGGCTGAGCCCAGAAAGATGAGAAAAAACTCTGTGGCTCACCAGCAGTGAGGCAGCCTCAAATTTTGATGTTTATGAAATCTAGGATGCTCAGGTCCATGGAAGGAAGAAGAGGTAGAGCATGCACTTAAAATAACTGGACAAAATAGAAGAGGAGCAATAAATATTTACTGTGTGCCTTCAATATGCGGGATGCACCAAGAGCCTCTCCTTTATTCCTTGGGGGCCCCAAAAAGGCAGGTCCTACTACTATCTCTCTTCTACAGCTGAGGGCATGGAGCCTACAGAGGTGAGGTGTAGGAAGATCGCACAGGTATTAAGTGGGGTGACCAGAACTTATAATCAGAGCCCACACTCTTAGCCACCACCTATCTAAACAGCAGAGTCCAGAAGAGCACAGGGCACAGATTGAAAATCCTGAACAAAGGCTCAGAATAAGGTAAGGGATCAACTCCACTGTGCACAGATGCCAACATCGGCTAAATACAGAACCACGTTAAGATACTCAGACCTGGCACGTGATCGGAAATCATGAGCAGGTTCTCCCATCAAGGCCAGGGTCAGAAGGGGTGAAAGGTACGTGCCGGAAGGGACCAAAGACAGCTGCTGCCTACTGCTGGAGCTCCCGTGACCTTCCCAGTCCTGCTCTACTCTTCCTCCCATGCAGAAGATTCTCTGTCTAGCCTCAGAACACTACCGACACGCATTCACACCGCCTGAGGAACTTAAAGAAACAAAAAAAGAATGACAGAATTACAGCTTTAGGGAACAAACTCATTGGCTCACCCTTGGTGCTTCCTTCCAATACACGAAAGTCAGTGAAACGGGTCGGGTATGACCCATATCTATTGACTTTGTGTCAATGACATATAGCCTGCGTAGTCTCTTGACTGTGAAAGTGTAGCCGCCAGTAAGAGGCACCTGATTGTGCCATGTAAAAAAATAAAAAATAAAAACAACAGGGGTTCCCTTCTAAATCTCACTTCAGCACCATCAAGATCTGTTGCTCTTATCTAAAACATGTGTCACCAGTGGATAAAGAATCTTAAGGTCTGGCCAAAGTGACCACCACGACAGGATTATTTGGATCTTCCTATTGGGATGACTGACATGCTCAAGTTAACATACCATGAAAGAAAATCCTGAAACCAGAGAGAGGATTTTGAAAGAATTTACTGCTTATTTTGTTCTCTATCATCTCACAGAACCCCATGTTTCATGATGAATATGCATTCTATCTTCAAGAATACAATAATTTTATGTTCGGTGTTATCCCACTTGAGGGCATGAGTTCCCTCCTACTGTTATCTTCCTGGGAAAATTAAGTTGTTAACAATAAGTCTAACAAGAGATTTCTAGAAAATCTAGAAATTTCTAGCAAATTTCACGCTGGAGCTAGAGTTGACTGACCACCAAATCACTCATAAGACCTGCAGAGCTGGTGTGTGTGGGCAAAGTCACCCCATGTGGTCCCTCCCAATTCAAGCCTCCAAAGCACCTGCCCTTGGAGGTGATACTCCCAACACGCTGAGAGGTAGAAAGCACTTTGGCAAACACAGTGGGTATTTTTCTTTTTCGCCCTTGGAGAAGAGCAGGAAGTACCCGAGCTCCTAGTGGCCAGCTTTGGTCTTTCCT